GTTGTGTATTATTACTATATATATATATATATATATATATATATATATATATACATATATATAAATAGTGTATTCTCTGATGTGTATATTTGTTTTACATGTGTATATATGTAATCTGCGAGTGTGATGTGTATCACAGATTTCAGAAGGGAGTATATGATGTGCTAATATACAGAAACAACTACACTGGATTTTATCAACTAATATATGTTGAAATTATTGAACAGATGTATATGTACTAAAAATTATGATTACGTACTTTGAAGTAACTACCAAAGGCGTTTTGCATAACTGATTACCAGTTTGAAGAAGGCAAAATACTTGTACAAGAAGACTTTCGAAAACCAAAACTAAAACGGTGTAGCATATGGTAGTGGAAGCTCAGTTTCTATTGGTTGGCAAATAAGTGTGGTGAAAATGAAAGAGGGTAGTATCATTTATAGAAATGTGCCCAAATAACACCTTCATATATTATGCTGCAAAATTCCACACACATCAAATGTGTGACCATAGTACTGAAACACCTGCTATGTAATTGGATAAGCCCAGCTCAGAACCACCAATGTTTATTGGAACTCTGAACCATATAATAAATGTTCTTACATATTCTAATTGCAATTTTATTACCCTGGGAAATTCCTTTTGAAAATGTAGTAGGAAATATAAACTGCTGTAACCCATATTGTGTTCTCCAGGGAATGTCACCTCACTGAATATGAGTGTGTTTTTACACTCAAGAGTTTCATATTATGGTTGTATGTAAACAGTCATACAACACGCGTGGTGATTTATTGCTTTATTGTCTGTGGGTTTGTAATTTGTCATTGACAGTAAAATAAACACAGAAAATATATGGGATATGTTTAGCATTTGAAACTGTCAGGGGAAGAACTTTGAAACTTCATGATCAATAATGAAGAAAAAGGAAACAGCTGCTCCTTATATTTCTAATTTTACAATTTTTCTTTTCATTCTACTTCAGTGAGTTGTCTACAGGCTGAAGAATCAAATAATAAATGTAATAACGGATAAAATATAATGTTTTATTGAAAAAAAAAGTTATATATATGTATTTAGGAGGTTTCATAGGTTGTGCAAATGAAATTTAAGATTTTTGAAAAAAAGAAAAGTATTTTAACTCTTAAAATGAAAATCACTTTGCACTCAGAGTAGTTAAAAAAATCAATGTTTTCATGGACAAATATAAGTAAAAATGCTTCATTAAAAAATCTGATTTTTTGTGTGCAAAAGGCTTCTAATGTTTACTATAAGTCTACAAAATTTTGTAAAGATACACTTAATATATTAAAATTTATTAGTATGTAAACTATAACTATTGACTGAGCCTGTGTTGAGAGAGTTAATGGACTTGGTGCCATTTTTTTCTTTGTAATCAATATTTCAATGAGGTAGAGTGTCTTTAGTCTGCTCGAAAGTTCATATTTTTTTAGACTAAAATACA